GAAAAACATTCAGAGGAGAGAGGGCGGTGCCTGACAGAGGTAGATGTTCGATCTTTCATTTCAGAGAGCAGATTACATTTTTATTATTTTGACTTTTTTGTAATTTAATTTAGAGCAGGGGCTGTCTGTCTGGTCTAGCGTCCCCTGTGCAGCGGGCAGTGTTCAGTAGTGACGAGCCAGATCGCAGCCTAACAGCAGTGGACTTGAAGCAGTGTAACCTTTCTGGGCTCTGTAAAGGTCATTTTTTAATTCCCTTATTTTTGTGATGTATGTAAAACCTTCAGTGTGTACTTGGCTAAAGATGTATGTTGTTTGTGTTATGGAAACCAATACTATACCTTGGTTAAAAAAAATAAAAAAGTTTAAAAACAGAAACATTTACTATAAATGACAAGTTCTGCAGTAAGGAAGTATTTATGGTGCCTTACAAATAAAAACTCAATGGAGGTCAAGTGTGGGTGTGTGTGAGCTTCTTTTTCTCTCCAGTGTGGAGCAGGGTGGCCTGCAGCCAGCAGGGGTCTGACACCCTGTTCCTAACCAGCTGTGCTCGCCAGCTCTACAGGACCCCCTGCAGTGGCCCTTGGGCCTAGAAAACTTATTTTGTAGGAATGGGATACAAGCAGGTCTAATTGATCATATTAGTTCAGTTAAACTGCTGAATATGCAGCTGGTTTGACTGCGGCAGATACCCGGTCACCAGGACCAGGACTGGATCACTGGGACCAGGACCAGTGCTGAGCTCACCAGGGACCAGGACTGGATCACTGTGACCAGTGCTGAGCTCACCAGGGACCAGGACTGGATCACTGGGACCAGTGCTGTGCTCACTGGGACCAGGACTGGATCACCAGGACCAGTGCTGAGCTCACCAGGGACCAGGACTGGATCACCAGGACCTAGTGCTGTGCTGAGCTCAGCAGGACCAGGATTGGATCACCAGGACCCAGTGCTGTGCTGTGCTCACTGGGACTAGGACTGGATCACCAGGACCCAGTGCTGTGCTGTGCTCACTGGGACCAGTGCTGAGCTCACCAGGACTGGGCAGCCCTCGTTTCCGTTGACACCGGGTTGGTTCTAGAGCTGACTGCAGGAACATCAGTGTCGCTCCGGAAGCCAGTGAGCAGCTTCTCTCCCCGCCCTTGTGTGGCTGCTCCTCAAAGAGTCCCAGTGCATGAGGCACACGGGTTCGAGTCTCAGAACAGACACCTGAGCTGGACACGTCCCAATCAGCTGAGCTGAGCCCCCCAGCCTGCAGGCAGCAGCAGCCGGAGTGGAGGAGAGGCGCTGGAGTCCAGCGGCGGGGCGTCATGGCTCTGGAGGGGCTTGAGGGGAAAGAACTGCGCTGCCCAGGGAGGTTGCCCACCTCCACACCTCCCAGAGGCCCCCAGCATCTCGTCTCCCGTCTGCGCTGAGCGTCTTGAGCCAAGGAGCAGGAAGCTGCACTGCCTGTGCTCTGTGTTGCTCTGGTACCAGTTAGAAAACCTGCAGCTGAGCGCTGTGCGGAGAGCAGGCAGAGACCCACGTGTGGGCGATGAGCCGCGTGTGAATGACACCTCTCTTAACCGCTGGGAGGTGTTAGTTCTCATAACCCATCCGTCTATGTCCCAGTTTTGCCACTAGCCACCAGGTGGCAGTCTAAGCTTAAAGTTTTCTGTTCTGAGCAAGTCCTCACTGTCATTAATGCCACCCTGCCTCTGTGCTTTCCTGTGCTTGTACAACGTTGAGCTGTGCTGCGCTGGACAGGGCTGGGATGGTTTTGGCATTGGCCTCTACCTGACCTGGCCTTAATTTTCCATCTGATTGCTGCTTTTTAAAATTCCCCTTCCTGTCCTGCGTGGTCCGGTCAAGGCGAGAAACGGGCTGTTCTGTTGTGTTTGTGGGTCGGGCTGTGTGGTTCTGACCAGCTACAGGTTGTTGTGCACATTCTCTTCCCTCAGGCTGCCTCCTGACCTCTGCCGCCTGGACAGTCCAGTTCAGACTGAGAGACAGCACAACTGCGACTCCCTCTCAGCCCTGAGTGCAGCTCCTGTCTCTCTTTCTCCCTTCTCCATCCCCTGCGCCCCCCTCTCTGCCCCCACCCCCCCTCCCCAGGAGCCATTCTCACAGTGCTGTGTGTGGATGCTGGGGCCCCAAGCTGCAGCCCAGTTCTTTGTAGTTGGATAATATTTAGCTGTTTTTAGGCTGGTCTGCCTGTCAGATCCAATTTCTGCACCAGCATCTCCTGCACCCCCCCCCTCCTCCCACCCTCTCTCCCGCTGGCAGCCCTGTGCTGTTAAATTAACAATGACTCTCAGCTCCTCGTTAAGCTGTGAGCCTGGATTTGCAGATGAGTCGCTGGCAAGCTCAGGAGAGAGGAGTGGAGAGGAGTGTAGAGGACACAAGAGAGGGAGAGGAGGAGTGCAGATTACAGAGGAGAGGAAGAGGAGGTGTAGAGAGGAGAGAAAAGAGAGAGGAGTGTAGAGGACAGAGGGAGAGGAGGAGTGCAGATTTCAGATGAGAGGAAGAGGAGGTGTACAGAGCAGAGAAAAGAGAGAGAGG